TTTAGTGTGAATTTACACTGACGAAATACATGGGGTATTTCGTCAGTGTAATTCCACTATTACAGAAACAAAAGATTTCCATCACCTAGATTCGCCAATGTATTTTGAAAGGACTTTATTGAAACTTCTTTTAGAATTAAATATTACTATACTAGCTGCGGCCGCGACTTCGTCCGCGCGAAATTAAAAAGATCTTAATAGTAGCCTATGTGTTCGCCCAGACTATGTTCTATATCTATCCTATAATAAATGAGATCGAGATCCGTTGAGCCATGCGGATACCTTGTAACAAACATTGATCCATGTATCTAAATATTTACATTTAAAATCATCAGACCAACACCAAATGCAGCCCCAACATATCACGGGGTACATTCGAGATCATGGTTTATGCGACTTTGGTGTACGGCGCATTAGTGCTAATGCTCAGCTTCACTCCTGTCTCCAAGAAGGCGCAGCTTGTCACCATGTTCCTCGTCGTTGGAGCTGCTTGTATTAATGCTGACTTGACTACCAATAGGTATTGTTCATGTCTTTTTTTTTTAAATCCTTGTATCGTTACTTGTTGGTTATTGCGTCATTGATAATAGAATCTAGTTATAATTATGCGTAAACTGAGTCCAGCTTTTTCCCGTGATTTCTATTATATAAATAGTATGTTTTTCAATATTTTTTGGGGTACATAAAGCTATATTGAAAACTGAAATATAAGTGATTTTAAATGGAATCTGTGCAAAAATGAAAGGTAGCAGTGGAAGATCAAGGTCACTGTGCAAGCTTGTTGCAAGTGTAATTTTGTTTTTTCATTAGATTGATGGCTGGCATATCGATGTCTGCGCTACAGGTGACCGCGCTCGGTCTAGGCCCGCTCACCGCATACGCCGTGCATCTCTTCCCAACCAATTTGAGGTATGACAAACTAAGAAACAAACTATAGAACACAGCTAGTTATTAAATTAAAGCAAGTACGAGACGAAATAAAAAGTCCTTTAGCTCTATATAATATAAGTAAAAGGCTTTTTTCACTAAGACAAGAAATCAAAATCATAAACGACGCTTAATTTATTTCTTTTACAGTAGTAAGGTTTTTAGGTTGCTGTAGAAAATACTGTTTTTAAATAAATAAATAGCCAAACTCTTCCTTACCGAAGCTTTCCAATGGCGAAAAAACAGCATTCAAAGCCTGAGTGTTATTGTTAAGAAAGTGTTTTTGTATTAGTTTCTGGATAACTAAACAAATTACTTTCATAATAATGCTGCTTAATTTATATTACGAAAGGCGATTTGTTCATTTTTTTATTGTAAATGTAGCCGTCGCCAGCGATTCCGTCCGCGCGGATTAAAAAAAAAGTAGCCGATTCTCAGACCTATTGAATATGCACATAAAATTTCATAAAAATAGGTCAAGCACTGTCAGAGGAGTAATTTGTTAATTATGTTTACATTATTAACAATGCTTTGTGACGCGAGAATTTAATATATAAGATGTAACAAATTAAGAAAACATTACTAACAAATGGAATATTTTTACTATTTTTCGTATTATCATATTAAACAGAAGTTGACATATGTAAACTTGTTTGTGATAGCATAATGTTTACATATAGTTATAATATATCATATTAAATACTAGACAAATATACATGTTTGTTATATGTGGGAAAACCCTAGTCGCAGAGATGATGACTGTAATCTTTGCGCATTAGCCATTTCGACAAAACACGATAAGTGAAATGTAGCATTGGTAAAAATAAACAAACATTGTTTTTTAAATAAAAATATCCTTTTAATAACATTGTTACATGTATTAGTATATTAAATACTAGCTGTCGCCCGCGAGTGTAGCCCAAGCATCCATCCATCCACATCATATCCATCTAAACATTCGCATTATTATATTACTAAGTTAAATAAAAAGCAGTTTCTCAAGGCATAAATTAGAAAAAACAATGAATAAATAGTATCCTATATCCGTCTCCTGTCTCTAAGCTATCTCCTCACCAATTCTCAACCATATCGGTAAAGCCGTTCTTGAATTATAAATAGTGTAACTAACACGACTTTCTTATATTTATATATATAAATATAAATATATATTTATATATATTAAACATGTGCTGACATAGCGTTATCATTTCAGCGGTATCTAAAAATCTGAACCCACTTGGTTGAACCAATTGAAAATGGGCAAGTTTTTATGGGCAATATTTAAGGCAAATATCAAGCATCTATTTAGTACCTAATATTGTCTCTGTTTTATTTCACTATTTAGTTTAAAATTGACTATGGGGCAAAATCAGTAATCGATCAATCGAAACGAATTCAACCAAACTGCAGTCTGCCAACGTGGTTGATTAACGCTTAATCACTCTCATCTTCAGGTATCTAATAATATTCCGAGCGTGAAGACGTATGTCTATGATCTGAAGAAGTGAAACGCAGTATATAATTAATTCGACAGTCAATTTGACATATATATTTTGCAGTAGATCATCTTTCCACCTCTTTTTCGAAAAGCAATGATTAGTTTCAAGATCGAATATTGATTTCGTGCATATAAAAACTGTTACATCACTTTATAACGTCTCTTACAGAGGTACGGCGGTGGGAGCAGTACTTATGTTTGGTCGCCTAGGGTCAGTTGTGGGCGCGAATGCAGCCGGCATCTTCCTGGCGCGCTCCTGTACAGCCACCTTATACGGCTTCTCTGCTATGCTGTTCTGTAAGTTGCTTGTTACATATGTACAGTCGAATCTGGATAATGGGGGTACTAGGATTACAGAGAAACCTCTATAAGCGAGGAAATATCGCGGATTGTCAATTATCCGGATTCGACACTACTCAGTTTTGGAACTTTGACTCGTTTTTTTGGTGTGGTCACGTTTGTTAAGGTGAGCTTCCATTGTCAAAACAGCTGTATAAAATACTGGCAACCCACCCATTCTTTTTGAGAAAAAAACATTGATAATTTTTTTTGACATAAGAGTTTAGAGGTTAAATTAATACGATAAGGTAGGAATTATAAGAAATAGCTTACTTTTTCTTATCTTTTTTCTCCTTTTCATTCACTAGTCAAATCGTTTTTCAGTTTATTCTAAATTTAAATATGTTTGCAAAAACATACCGGTTTTGTAATAGAAATGTTGTTTTTTTTACAGTGTGCGCAGCTTTGAGCACTCTGCTGCCTAAGGACAAACAGCCAAGAAACGACAGATAAAGAAAAAAAACATGAATGATTAAAAACAAGAAATATTAAAATGATTAATAAATATGTTTTTTATTGTACAATAAAATTTGGTTTTTAATTAAAATGTTTTAAATTCCACTTTCGCGCCATATTAATGGAATTATTATTAGAACAATTTTATAATCTATAAATATTATAACATCAAAACACCTAACGTATGGTGGGAAATGTATATTTTTTTCGTTAACGCAAATAACAAACCCCCTCATTTCATATAAATTATTTCTTTACATAATAAAAACAACAAATAATTAAGAAATAACATTTTTTTTGATTCATCAAATAATGTTACAAAATGTAGATCAATAAAAATAAAATATTCCGTAAAATATACATATCTATCAGCTGTCATATCTGTATTCACTCCTTTCTACATCCTCTTTTACACAATTCACACATACTATCGTCGCTAGTTCTTCTATAAATATTAATATCTCAAATGTTTTATTCATTCAGATCGGAAAGTCACAACATAAAAAAGGATAAGGAAAATATCTTCGCAACAATAAACACCGTTACAGATTCCGTCAGCCTTCAATAAACCATCATTGTTTGCTAATTTTAAACCTTAGACTAACACGAGAATCATATTGTTAGTTAACGGGAATTTATCCTTATCTATACTAATATAATAAACAGGAAAGATTTGTTTTTTTTTTATGGGACGAATAAACTTAAAAACTTCTTGAACAATTTCAAAAATTCCTTTGCCACTAGAATCTGTCACGAGTAATATAGGCTGCTATATATATATATTTTTTTTAAATTTTGCACGGACAAATTCGCGGGAAAAAACTAGTGTATCATATTAAAAAATTAATTTCATCAATAAACTTCGTATTACTAATACCGCGAATTTATGCTTTTTTATATTAAATAACTTACAAAGTAAATAAATCTTGAACTTCTTTTATTAAGATGGCGGAAAACGAAGGTCATAAATATATATCCAAGCGAAAGCCAATGCGATTATTTTTGTTGGCCCATTTAAAGGTCAGTGTCCGAGGGTTGTGGTACTCATTTAATAACCCTGTAACTTACCAAAGTCAGTAACTTAGAGTCGGAGTTGCCACAAGACGGTCGGGGCTTGAATCCCAATGTGCACCCAAAGGACATATTTAGTTTTATAATTTTACGTTGTTTTAAGAATTCGATATGTAATTTGAAGTAAATAGTGTAAATTGTATTTAAAAAAAGTTAGAAAAAAACGTAATGCTTAAGCATTATGCGACGCTCGGGCGACGAATTGTCGTATTATAAATAATTTTTTCCAAGGACTATAGAGGTATGTCAATTTTATCTATTAGTTATTTTATAATTTCATTCTTTATTTATAAGAGGATTTGGAATATTTATAAAACGTGGTCATTATTGGTCCATATGAGAGTTTTAAAAACTTTACCGAAGCCGATATGAACATGTTTGGATTGACAAATGTTTGATAATACGACCGGTTATCCTGAAGGATAGAAAAAATAATGTCGATGTTCAAGAAGTTTAGACAGCACGTGACCAAGTAATAATTTACTTTCATTCTTTTATTTTTGGGTATATACGTATTTTTTTATTTTTACGTCTGTGTTCTTTTTATTTGCAACAACTTGTAATATTTGTTTAGTATGCTTAGAAATAAAATCGTTTGCTTCCTTCTTAAAGAAAAAAACAAGTTAATAATATGTGTCTTTAAAAAAGTTTTATCTTTTTTTTAAGTGGACGATCGGTCGAATGCACTAATCCGATGCCATCCATACGGGTAGTGTCTTGAATTTTAAATTGAAAATAAATTCTTAAATAATTTATTTATGTTGATATTGTATTATTAAGGCTTGTTAAATCATAACAGTATGATTAAGCATCTAATATTATAGCAGTGATAAGGAAACCTAGATATAATTAGTGTATCGCAGAAGAAAATGGTCAGTTGTGAATCGGTAATAGAGGGCGCGGACGCGGGAACACCGACATCAATAAAAATTAATTTTTTAATCTATGACAATTAAAAAAACAAAAGCAAGACAATCGAAAACAGGTCAGTGTTTAGAAGTTAACATTTTTTAAAATATCAGTAATTAAAATTAATAATTTAGGAAATGGTAGGATATAATTATAATGAAAATTAAATATTTTTTATATATAAATATGTACTGAAAAAAATATATTTATTTTATCCCAAAGAGACATACGTAGCAGTGATATAAGACATATAGCAATCAATACGTGCAGTTTTATCCGTTATATTTAAAAAAATGCTAATAAAATCAAATGACTAAAGAGAAATTTAATAAGTTTACAGACAAGTAAAAATTAAAAACAATAGCAATGATTATAAATAATACATAAAAAATAAATACTTCTAAATATAGAATAATGATTTAAAAGTACGTTTTTTACTGATGAATGACGAAACAAGAGGAAAAGTTTAACAAAGAATACAATCGTTTACTTATAACGATAACTTTTTATTCCTCACAAAACATTCTATTTTGTAAAACAAAATCAATTCTCACTTAACTATTTATAGTTTACAATCGTACTTTTTTCACGAAATAAACTGAAATTATCTATTTCTTTTAACGTATCTATTTTACTAATTCACACGACTACATAGAAAAAATGGCGGCCGCAGTCACGCGGCTAGCTAAATCAAATTTACTCTTACACATTCAGATCACATAACCTAACCTATTATACAATATTCTTGTAATTTATTTATTCAGAGCCCACGTGTTGGTCTTATCTTATGTTAATTTTTTTGAGTCAGGATTCATGGAACTAATGAAATCGACTTGAAAACAATCTTGTCGTTACTAATGCTATATTGTTAAATAATATTAATTTTATTTTAATAAAATAAACAAGATTTAAAAAATATTGATGAGTCACTGCAATAAAAGCTTCATTCGTGCTTGCGCGGGTTTGAAATGCGGGTCGCCATGCTCCGCAGATTAGAGCCTTTTACTCACCCGATAGTTTGGTCGGACGCTTAAACAGTATAAGCATGTTTGGAAGCAACAGCTAGTTAATTAATTATGTTGAAATAATAATGCTTAATAATAGAAATAATACCTTATTACTTTTATTTTTATTCGAATAAAACACCTGCCTTCCAATGCCATCAATGCATTAGACTTTTTTGGACTGCTTTTTATATCAACACAGGTTTGACCAGTTTTGAATACACAATAAAAAGTAAATTTGAAAATATTTATTGCTCGATACGTCTATAATTTATGATAAGAAAATGTCAACAACATTTACGTATAAAATGTCAATGCTTAATCTTACTTTTTATTTACCCAAAAACAGAGCTTTGATTATTACTATGCGCTTCCAGATTTTTAATATCAAAGTGACCGCTGCAAGATTTCATCATAAAAAAACTTTCAAAAAGGTTGAAAATACGTTGTCTATGGCAGAATTAGTCACAACGTTTCTTTTATATAAAAATACTAGCTGTCGAGCCGCGACTCCGTCCGTGCGGAATTAAAAAACTTAATTAGTAGCCTATGTTTTCCACAACATCCATCCATCTAAACATTCGCATTTATAATATTAGTAAGATCTAATTAGAATATTTTAACTGAGTTTATTGAGTGCGTTAAGCCTCAGCTTAACTTCGAACAAATATTTGTCACTGAATACAACGTAATTGCACTTGTTTTGATAAGTTCTCGAGACATCGGCCCCTTGCGGCTTGATTAGTGACATCTGAGCACTCAGCTATCACAGATAATGAACAAAATGAGTGTTTACGTACATTATTAGCGGAAAACCACTGTCTGCCTTACGGCTTAGTGAGGAAATACTTCATATTACTATGTCAAAGTAGTGTAAACTTTAACGTCTAAGTACTAGAAAACTAGAAGATATTACTAAAAAGACTAATTAAATTTTATATAGAACGAATTTTATAATTTGAATTGGTAAAAATATGTAATTATAATAATGAATCACTGACGTTATTTGCTGAGCTGTACATGAGGAGATGAGATCAAAACCAGAGACAAAATTAATTTTTTTTTAACTCGTTTATAGTTACAAATGTATAAACGGTCAATCTATTAATGGCAAAATAACTTACTTTGTATTGAAAATATCTATTAAATTATTAGAAAGAACCATCGTAATAAATTGATTATTTCAGTCGATCTGTATCGTCAAAACTTTAATCTAAAAGCTCGATCAAAAGATTATGAATTGTTGTTTAACTTAATTAATTTAATTGTTGCTGTTTAATTTAATTTAATCAACTGTGTTTAATTTTATAGGTAGACAAAATGAAGGCAAAGGGAAAATACGAGAACGAGGCTAAAGCCGAGCTGACTGTAACTCTCGATGAGGCTATGACACTAACAGGTTAGTTTTGATCATTTTTAAACTATTCGACATTCACATTAGGTACTGTAGTGGATACGGAATAGTTACTTACCATTCACAGACGATCCTAGCCGGTCCGTTCTTCATTCAATGAAAGCTTAAAAGCCTTACTTATTTAAAGAAAAAAGTGATATTTTTTAAGCGCCAACAGCCTAATAGTTGTGGTTACGAACATGCGGTCACGTGGCCGTGAGATCAAATCCCGATACCATGAACAATAGAACAAGCCTAAAACATAATTGGAATAGTACCAAAAATATGCTTAAATTTAATTCCAAATTTTTAGTCACTTCTCAAATTGACATTTTATTATTAGGTTAATGTAAACGCTACTTCAGTTATTGTACTCTACAAATATGGCGGCCGTGAGCTGCCTCATTAACAGATAAGATATAACATTCTTAAACATGATTTACGGCGTTTTATAAAAATTGTGTAAGATTTATTTTAATCTGTTTACATTGTCAATGTATAGTGTAATCATTTCTTAATAACAAAACATGTTATTTACTATTATTAAGTAGCTGTCGCCCGCGACTCCGTCCGCGCGTAATTAAAATAAAACTATTGGTCGCAGCGTAATAATATGTAAAGTGTGTACAAAAAAAGAATTTTCCAAATCGGACCAATAGTTGCTGAGATTAGCGCGTTTAAACAAACAAACTCTTCTTCTTATAATATTATAGTATAGATGTTACTTGAAATATTTTGATATTTATTATTGTTATTATTATTTCCATATACATTTATTTATCACATTTCTAATATAATACATTTCATATAAAAATATATATATACAAAACATATTATATTAAAAAGAGAACACCACCAGCTGCGGAATCCCATGACTCAAACAACCAGTGGTCAGGGCTGCAGAGACAGGAACCTTTTCACGATGCGCGCGGTTTCTACGATAACTGCCTTTTGTATCGGGCCCTTAATCCAACTGTTTAGCGAGAGCTTCTTGAGATGTTGGTCGAAGCTCTTCGCTATCAGTCCATTTACCGATACGACTATCGGAATAATGGTAGTCGATTTCATACGCCACATGGCGGTAACCTCGTGAGCCAAATCTAGGTATTTTAACACTTTTTCCTTTTCAGCTTTCACGAGATTCTCGTCATGTGGAATAGTGACATCGACTAACATTACACAACTCTCAGACCGGTCTATTATTACTATATCGGGCCTATTGGCAGCAATAGTCCTATCCGTAATAATAGATCGATCCCAGTAGAGCGTGATATCGCTATTTTCCAGAACGGGTGAAGGTTGGTACTGGTAATACGGTACCTCAGCATCCACAAAGGCATATTTAAGGGCAAGTTGCTGGTGGATGATCTTGGCCACTTGGTTGTGCCTATGCAAGTATGCACCGTCCGCAAGCCGAGAACAGCCGGAAACGATATGCCTAATGGACTCACCGGGATTATTGTTATTATTATTAGATATTTAGGTCTAATTCTGGTTAATAAAGGTTTCGAATTCCGTAAAACTTGTATCATAAAACAGTGTTATTTTTTCAAACAGGAAAGTATGGCAATATATGTTTATTATAAAAGTGAACGTATATAATGGATTAATAAAAAATCTGGCCAAGTGCGAGTCAGACTCGCGTACCGAGTGTTCCGTACAAAACTGTAGGTTGTGTTGTTCTAGAAGCTTGATATTTTAGACCCGAGTATTTTATAAAAACTTCAGCTTGATACGCCTACGCGTTCCTGAGAAAAACGGTCTTGACAGATAGACGGACAACAAAGTGATGCTATAAGGTTTGCATATTTTCATTACGAGGTACGGAACCCTAAAAAATTATGAAAGTTCATTATGATATATGTCAGACGGGTGATAGTGTGTCGACCAACCTAAAGCTTAACGAATGATCCGATTTTTCGAGTTATTCGATTTGTACTCTTCTCTTGACCGTGGTAGAGTCTAACATTTAAAAAAAAAGTCTTTGTCATTCTCATTAACTTGATAGAATAAAGGTCAATTTAATATTAACTCGTAATTTCAATTCTATATAATATATATATATATATATATATATATATATATATATATATATATATATATATATATATATATATATATATATTATAGAATTTGAATACGCAATTTTAGCAAAATTATCGATTAAAGTGACTTCAAGGATAGCAAAGGGAAAAAAAGTATAGAATACCGTAGTATTAACGCAGTTGTCACCTCTACAACTCTGCCTACCATAATGCCCTACTAACCCATATTAGGATCTAACAATATGTAAGAAACATCCCAATTGCATATGTTATGAGTAATTAGCAATAATTAAGTCATTAGGTCGTCTTATCTTGCAGTACATAAGCCACCAGCTGCTATTTATCTACGCTGCGACTTATATATGTTTACATTTCACAGGTCAAACTTAATACTATATAATTACGATTTATTTTCTTAACACGTTTCAGTGAAACGGATTAAGCAAATTACATATTAATATATAACCAGTTTTGTAGAAAATTAGCAAAAAAAACGTGACTTTGCAGCTTTTTACCAAACTGATTTATGTGTAGGGTGGTTTCTTATCCATCATAAATAATGTAATGTTTTAAATAAAAATATGAGTGCCAATGATTGTGTTCCGTCAAAAATATCTGCAAAATGTACAGATTTCAACATAACGCATTTATTCATTTAATAACCCATGAATAATAAATAAAACGCGAGATGAAGTCAAGCTGTGTTATATTTAGGATTGTCTCTATATTACCGTATCATTAAAATAGACAAGACCATAAATTAACAACGTTCGGGAAATTCCCAAGAACAATATTTGTTGATTGAGTAAATGACGCTAATACATCGTATGATTGAGGTTATGTTGAGAAAATATTTACAAGAGATTATAATTACGTCAACTCTTTTAATTTTCATAATAACTAACATAGCATGGTTATATAACTACTGAAGGTAAATTTGTAATATGATTATATTATTTGGAACACATTTCTTGGGTCCCAGATATAATAGAAATAGGAAAATAAAAACAAAGTAAATTTTGTCATGAAAGTATGACTTCGATTAAAGGAGATTTGAAAGGATTAACATCTTTATTTTGGTATACAGTTACAGCTGTAGTAAATAATTTCTCCTTTACAGATAGCATTTGAATTTCGCGGTAATTTTGCTATGTTTTAAATAAATTGGTTCGATTAGTAGACCCGCACTAATACGGCTATCCTCAGTCCATAAATCCAAGCATGTATTTAAGGAACTTTCTATGACATCTTTATATTTGCGATTACTTTTAAGATAATGTGTAAAGTTCAGCGGTCATTTGACGAGTCTTTACAATCGTTAGTTGCAGGATTAAACTTGTTGCATAATGTTGGAGCAATCAGATGAATCCGACCTGACTCACGGATCGCTGACCTCTGCACATAGTATATGTTGATTATATGTTTATGTTCTATCTTACATAAATCGAACAAAGAGATTAAAACAGGTGTTCTAAAAACGTGACTACGACATGTGCTAAGGTTTCGATTCTGGGTAAATACTAAAGTATTATTAGGTGATTTTTTTATAAATATGGGATTCTTTCTGATTTCAAATAACGATCTTGTCTATAGTATGCACAAGTTTACTACCTTAGAAGGTCCCTGTGTCAGAGGCCAAGGCTCACTTTGGATTGATGCCTGACTCTAGTTTAGTTACTTATTGTTCAAAATTATTAAAAAAACCTGTCAATTAGTACTATTACATTGAATTATTTACTAGCTACCCTGTTTTAGACAATACATACCATATCCCAAAGTAAACAGATGTGTCCATAAACCAAAATATGAAAACATATGCAAAGATAGATCGTAATAGTGTAGAGTTGTTACGTTATTTATCCAGGTTTTGGTGTATACAACATATCGCACATGTTGCTGAGCGGGCTGATCCTGATGGGCGTGATCCTACAGAACTTGGCGCTAGGCTACGTACTGCCAGCCGCACAGTGTGACCTGCATCTCACGCTGCAGCAGCGGGGCTGGCTCGCTGCTATACCATTCTTAGGTAAATACGTTGACCAATTCGAGACGACAAGACGACGAGTAGGTCAGGTGATCACATCTAGACATACCATTTTTATCAAATGAAGAACCTACTTAAAGAAAAGGCACAAACTAAAGAGTTTTTCCTTCTGGATATAAGTATAAACACACACATTAGTAGGTACTAATCTGCGAACAATTTCAAAGATGTACATAGTCAAGTAATCCAGATTGGCTCAGCCTGTATAACTTAGACCTAGTCACTCCAATCTTACGATTGGCTAAACCATTTCTGTGGGGATGTACATAAATTGACGATACATGAATTACTCCGTAATTATGTATACTCTGTATTTTGCCAGCTGTAATCCTGACATCATACTTCTGGGGCTGGCTGGCAGACACGCGTGGACGGCGGCCTGTCATGCTCTTCTCTATGGCGGTCTCAGTAGTCATGTCCACACTAGCCAGCTTCGCTCCAGATATCATCTCTTTTGCTGTGCTTGAATTTCTTTCCGCCATTTTGTAAGTAATACTTAGATTTTAATTTAACTGAAGATATCGCTGCCATTTACATTACTGCCATAGCCTCTTTATGCAACAGTTATGAACTGTGATTGTGTTAATTTTTATGGTTATATATCTAACATTTTGATGTCTTGTAGCATGTCAGGTTCGACCGCGGTGGTATACACGTACCTCGGGGAGTTCAACAACCTACGGCACAGAGACAAAATGGTCGCCTTCGGATCTTCCTTCGTCGGTATCGGCACTGTCGTCTTGCCAGGTAGATTAAACATTACATCTTTCTATAGTTCTGATACCCATAACCTTCTTAAATTTATGAAGTTTCTGTCTATTAATTTTTGATTTTTTTTAATAATTCCATTATACTATTCCTATTCCTGGTACTACTACTAACGGTTTGTCTACATATAAAATACTTAAACGATAAATGAACCTAAAAATAACTAAATGAATAATGAGCTAGTTCGAGAAATCTACTGCTTGAGTAACAAAACGAGTCTGGGTGCGAGTAAGTGTTTTTACATAAGCTTCTTTTTAACAAACTATGGGATGTCTATTCCAGGTATATCATGGCTGATACTTCCTCACGACTTCTCTCTACCGATTCCCTTCCTCGGCATCGCGTACCGTTCCTGGAGACTGCTGATTGTTGCCTGCGCGGTGCCCTACTTCATCAGCAGTATACTACTGTTCTTCGCGCCTGAGAGTCCCAAGTTCCTCTACTCCTCTGGCCAGTATGAGAAGTGTTTGAAAGTGCTGAGGAGTATCTATGCTGTGAATAAAAGGATGCCCGCTGATAATTATCCCGTAGGTATTGATAAACGAAAAACTTAGTATCCTTATTTGACAATCGACCGAACCCGTTTTCAATAGCGGATTAGAACTCACGTCTATCCATACGGATACCCGTACCCATAAGGCTGTCGACACTAAAATATCTTTCAAATATTGCAGGTAAAAGCTCTCATAACAGAATCACATATGGGTAAATGCGAGCCCGCGCCTGTGTCGGTGTTGTCGTCAATGCGAGACCAGACTGCGCCGCTGTTCCGTCCGCCGCTGCTGCCCTGGACCACGCTGGCTTGCTTCGTGCAGTTTGGAATATTTGCCACGTAAGGATCTTGGACAATAATATACTGTGGGCTATTTGCTACGTAAAATTTAATAATTTCAATATCATGAAATACTCCTGAAAAATTGTTCAATTGAAAATATAATTGTTACCAGTACGAACGGCTTCTACGTATGGTTTCCGACGATCCTGAACTCGTTAGCGAACCACGGCGCCACCGACATGAGGATCTGCGACATACTGGATGCCAGCAAGGTCTCCGTGCTTAACGAAACTGTGGTACATAGACTTTAATTTTATTTATTAATTCTCTGTCTACTATCGTAACTGTACTACCGATGTTGCCATTCTTTCTATTCTATTTAAAACAAGAGATAACAATAAAGTTCGTATACATGTGACATGTGACAGGACATTTTAATTGACAGTTACATTGTTTCTCCATCCATAGGTAATCTGTGACGATACAATGAACACATCAACATTCGAAAGGTCCATTTACATCGGCCTAGTATTCTGCTCCATGTATCTGATAGTTGGCTTCGTGGTGGACCTGGTAGGGAAGAAGATGATCCTCGTATCCGTGCTGTCCGTCACCGGATTGTGTGGCATCGGTGCTAACCTCGCGGCCAATCAGCATCTAGCAGTGGTTTTGTTCGCTATATTCCAAATGTCCGGAGCGTGCATTGGTCTTATGAATGCCGTCAACGTGGAATTATTTCCTACTAAATATAGGTTAGTAATCACAAAAATGGGAAAAGATTTTTCCTTGAACATCTAATCCGAAACGAAAGTTTTACTGGTTGCATGTCTTTGTCAAAGTGTCGTTTTTGGCGCCAATTAAAATTTTATTTGCTTTTCTTTCCAGAGCGATGGCAATCTGCCTGTCCATGATGATGGGTCGCGTGGGCTCCATGGTTGGCTCCAACTTGATCGGACTGTTCCTCGAGACAAACTGCGGAGCTAGTTTCTATCTATTTGGTGGCATTATTATTGGTAAGTCTCTATATCGTCACTATCGTATAATCGCGCTAAAGTATATTTTAATAATAATTTCTAAACACGTATTTTTCTTTTACAGTTTGCGCGGTTCTATGCCTAACACTACCGAACAAAAAGCGAGAAATTTCAGCAAAGAAACAGACAGAAGAACCAGCTCAGAACGAAACCCATGAACCGGTATGAACCGGTAATAACCGGATAAATGGTACCGAATTTAAAATAATACTCAAGTTTAAGACGACTGTAAGTGGTTTTGAGAAGATTGAAAATGAGTTCTTAATGCGAAATATGAATGAAGAAACCTCCTTAGACAAATACAGTACAATATAGTTCAATTAACCGTGAGTTTCTGAGACCAAAATCCCCATTTACATATCGATATCTCAAACATATCAAAGATAATGACAGGGATTACGATGTTTTAAACGGGGATATTAGTTTTAGAAACCCACGGTATGTAGTCCAATTATAGCACACAATTCATTCTGATTCATAGTACTAGGGTATTTACTTGTAAATAATAGTTATTATATAGAAATGTATTTTTAAGTCTGTTACTTAAGTTTCGATGTAATATTTTAACTTATTTATTAGCTGTATATAACATTAAAGAATTTACAATTGTGAATATGTTTATTCACTGTATACAAACACCTTGGATTAAAATTAAACTATAATAAACAGTTATAACAGGGGTTCAAGTCGAAGTTAAATGCAAATTTAGTGTAGTTAGTTTATGAACCTAAGTAGGTGACAGAGTGATTTTATGAAAATTTAAATAAACATGTAAACAGATGCCATATTCGCTAAACTGTCCGTAACAACATACAAATAGCCGACAATGTGTAGCTCTGCGCAGGAGGTATGCGCGGTAACATAACCTCAAAAATGAAAACCCCAACTCAACGTCTGAACGGGTGACTGAAAATCTGACTGAAATTGTGAAAGCTTTCCGCCCGCCCTTAGCAGCGGAAGTCGTAAGTTCTCGGTATCCGGGAAACCCAGGAAGAGGGCAGGAAAATTTCAGTATTGTGGGCGGTTTGACCAGGGTAGCAGGAAGGTAAGGAGGTTAGCGGTTACCACGTAGCAACGATGCGCCGCGCATGCGTAAATATTATATTGATTTTTCTTTCAATGTACAGATGTCATATAAAGAGGAGTAGGCATTCATACTAAGATTACAGTAATTTGAATAAGTCTCCAAAAAATTATAATACAATTATTAAACATCAAGCAAGAAAACTATAATTCTATCAAGAGGATATATAAGTACGATATAAACGGTAAGAGGTACATGATAAAGAATGTATCTCAAGTTAAATTAAAAATAAGTAGAGTTATTTTTTTTATCTTGCAATACCTTCTCCATTAAACTAACTTTCCACATTCTTGTATTTAATACGGAACGTAGTACGTTACTTGTGGAATTTTTCTACATCTGCTGTTTTCTGCTCTCCTAGTGGACGGCATGTCGTGAAAAGTTTTAGCGAGCTTTTCGGAGCTTTTTTAATGGAAAACTTTTCGTTCGCCCTTATTCTCGAGTTAGGTTTCGACCGTGCTTGCTCTAGTGGTTGTTCGAAATTTAACACATAATACAAAATACTTGTTTTTTCATAATTATCCAGTTTTTACATTTAAATTAAAGACATCATTAGGAAGCAAGTGCGAAGATTTCGCAATAAATTCATATGCTACTTTTAATCTACGTTGAAGAAGAGCAATCAATCAATATCATCTTACATCAATCTTCGTTTAACTGGCACAATACTTAAGTAAAAAGTTTTCCAAAGCCCTTTGTGCACTTATAAAGCTTTGAAGAGGGTATATGCAACCTTGGCATACTTTCTATAATGAAGATTTCAAGTATCAAGAAGAGCTATTGACAGAGCTTTAAAAATATCGGAATATTGAAAGACGAACAATTTCACCGCATACTTATCAGCTACACTGGTTTTGTTTGATAAGGTAAGAGAAATCGGTCTCGACATAAATGCATTTATAAATTGTGTGTAATAACATATTTCAAACCTGCAATAACTTATTTTAGATTAATATTTTTGCTTACAAAACGTACAAGCAAAAATTTACCGAAAAAGTCAGTGGTAAAATCGGTTAGTGTAAACGTAGCTTTACACGAATGACAGTGACAGTTGTCTCTGACAGCAGCAGCTGACAGACCTGTGCTTGACTTTGATTAATTTGTGTCATATTCTATTTCTCTTGCTCATTAACGATTTCTATCGAATGTCTTCCTGCGTTTGTAGCATATAATTTAGAAGTCATCGATCGAAAAAGTGAATTTTCAGAAGAAACACCCGCGTGTGATCTGTTGAATAAGGTGAGTTTGCGTCCATTTTTATAAAAATGCACATAAATAAATTATCACCATGTATTTGATGTTAGCAATGTCTAATATTTTGGTTAATAAGTCATTAAAATTATATCAATTGGCCTGGAAATACATACGGTTATGTACCACAATCCATATTTATATTACAAAGGTTGATTCGGTATGTAAATTTTACTTACAGCTTCATTTACATAAAATCTTTTTGAATTTTAAAATAATTAGTTGTGATCTAAAGGTCATTTTTGTCTCTACTGATGAGCTTGGAATCTAACCAAATTATTTCTATGATTTTTTTACATACTTTGGTTAATATCCACAGATAAAGTGTGTACTCATTAGTATTAACATAAGCAGCATTATAACAACAATTTTTGTTTATTTTCCTCTTCCACATCTAAATGTGTATTTATTCTCGTCTTCTTAAACATTAGAGAGTAGTACATTAGTTTATTAAAAAGTAGAAATTTACTTTGAATAATAAGTTAATTGTTTACTGTGTGTTTATTAACATACCTTAAAATGTTAATTATACACATATTGTATTACAATACCCAAAAAAACATTAATGAATAAGCCTACCTGGCTTCAGGAAACCATACAAAACAAGTGTACGGAGTTTAGAGTATTTAGTTACACATTACGCAAATCCTATTACATAGGCGTGTCTGATTCTTTATTCTATGAGTATATTTTGAAAAGGTTGGTTATGTTTTGTGATTTAGTTTTAAAATATAAAAAGGGTGAAAATAGAAGTGAAATTAGTGTACTTCTAATCTATTGGAATTAGATGAAATTATATGCGTCCCGGAGGCCTAATTTAGTCATCTTTCCCTTCCCACCCTTTTTCTTATAAGGAAAGGATGGGAAGTGGAAGTGGACTTTCCAGATGAGAGGATGCATGGGAAGGAAAAATATTTTCTTTCCGTGCATCCTCTCCTCCGTCGATTAAAGGGAGGCAACGCTTATGCAATTGCGTATGTCTATGGGCAACGGTCACTTCGCTATTTCAACGATTTCAGGTGGCCGCTCTCTCGTTTGCCACCTTATGATATAAAAAAAAATATATGGCAAAGGTGACTTAGTTTGTATATTGTTATGTACTTCAAAGTTCATAAAAAATAGTTACTTTAAACAGTTCTTTTATATAATGATTTGATGTATAATATAGTAGGTGTTGTACATATCATAATAAGTTTATATAAGAGTGAAATTCTATTATAAGAAATGCAGTAGACTCTTGTAACCAAGTTATATATGAACTAAAGTCTTTGTCCATTGCCCGGAACCCCAAATAACCCTCATAAGAAACTCGGGGTCCCTTAGACTCTTGTATATCCAGGTTCGAATGTGAATATTAAAAACTCTAATGAGACTACATTCAGACAGATGAGAGAGAATTTTATGTATATTAAAAGCAATAACAATAATAGAAAACTCAAATGATACTATAAAAAATATTTGCATTGTTGTGCCGCTTTTGTTCAGTTTCTAAAAGTTAGATCATCATTATCTTTTGCTTCGTTTTTTTTTATAGAAAAACAAAATCAAAATGGTTCAATGAACACGAAAATAGCATTAGTATAAATATTCTTCTGAACCATTAAACCAAAGGGTGTCCAATTATTCTATCGGAAAAAAGTTGTTAATCTCTTTTAGTTTTCTACATACACATTTCGACAAATAGACAAAAAAATATATTATACTTTGTGTTACTACTGTATTCATGTTATCTTATATATTTTCCGTATACAAAACCGATCAGATTTAATTTTTTAGTATAAATACTTTAAAAAATGATTTTGAAAAAAAATTAACACTTTTTTCCTGATTGTACTTATGTTAAACAATTGACATTATACAGAATGTTACATTTTTCATCGGTTTCACTTGGACATCTTTACCCCCAAGGGGGGACTAGTACTGGGGTAAAAGCCTGGGCTGGATAAAAATCGAGAAATTAAAACTCGAAGGTAACTAATACACTATTTCGATTACTCCTACATATAAGGGCCGAACTGTCGCTTAAGCCTTCTATGATATTAATACAACCGAACATTTTTTTTTGCTAGATTGAAAAATAAATTTCTAAGTAGACATATGAACATAAATTGGTGATGTATACAGCCGAATGCTTGTATATAATGGAGTTCACACATTAGGTAAGGTTTATGAAGGTTCGATCTGTGTATTTAGCTATAAAATTTGCCGACCTTTTGTTCGGCGCCGGAATAGACATAAAACTTGGCTGACAATTTATAGCTGTCGATTTCATTAACATGGATCGTAAGAAACTTTATGACAATATTTTATTGTACTTGGAACTACGTAAAAGCATTAATATTTTGTCTAAAATGTAATAAGGTCTGTTTACTCGTGGGTTTCTGAGACAATAATCTTCGTATAAAACATAGTTTTATCTCTATTTTGTCTAGGTAATGACAGAGTTGAAGTTCAGTGATTCTTGTCTCGAAAACCAACGTTAAATCGAGTAAAACACATCGAAGGACTGGTAATATTCAGACGCAATAACCGATATTGTTTTTATTCTCCGGAAACTGCAGTTTCAGTCAATGATACCTCGTTGTACCAGTTGTCGTATACGATTTTTCCGCTTATGTATTTATATAGCCAGCATAAAAATTATGATATTATTATTTTTATGTCAGGAATATATAAAATGCTCAATAAAATGTTAATTTCCTTGAAAAAGTACTTTGATTTACCATTACGAAAGTATAAAGTTATGTAATCCCTCTTCCCAGATAAAAGGAGCCTTCGCGTGCGACCATGGCGAGCGGGTCGTGGGAGGAGTTCTTTGCGGTGCACCTCCCTCCCACTGACTTTGAGGACAATCGTTCCCTCCTCAAGGAGTTCTGCGAACGACATGATAAGCATGGCAACAGGATTGCACTCGTCACGGTAATTGTCGGATCATTAAAAAAAGACTTCTTACATGCCTGCAGCACACGTTCTATAACCGTCATCCTTTCAATTATCTTTTGTCTCTTTCTGTTAGCTCTGTCTCGTTTCAATTTGCATTTTTAAATCGTGTAAGCCTGTAGGATTGTTGCATGTCACATTAATTGTTTATTTGCGTGTCAACTTATATAAGACTTCTGATTGTTATGTTGTAATTGAATCATTATTGGATTTATCACCTTCACAGTTTTTGCTTTTTAATAAAAAAAAAGTTTAATTCACTACTTCAGTAAAAATGTATTTGTAAAAATTACGACTCTTGTTAAAGTTTAATAGATTAAAGAGTAACAAAAGTTTTTGTTTATTTTTTATCAGTCTGGCGGCACAACAGTACCTCTGGAGCACAACACTGTCCGATTTGTGGACAACTTTAGCGCGGGCACTAGAGGCTCGGCCTCCGCGGAGTATTTCCTGGAGCATGGCTACGCGGTCATCTTCATGCATCGCCAGAAGACGCTTGAGCCATACACGAGGCACTTTAGCGGACAGAAGCTGCTAGATATGCTGGAACTTAACGAACGAGGGCCGAACACCACTATTACTGGTAAGAATCGGATTAGTAAGTTTACTGCTAGCTTTAGTAAGTAATAACTTAGATAGAAATTGACTTTACTATAATAATATGTCGCTGTACATTGTTTGAATAAAATCTTAACGAATTCAAATTAACATTTGAATGAATCTGAGTGAAGGACTCGTAGTTTGAGTATGTCATTTATCTTTTAGTTATATATAGGCAGCATTTTTACCTTGATCTAGTTTTATGACGTTGTTATTATCTTTCAAATCAAATCTAGATAAGACAAACAATAGAACGTACTTTATAAATCACATATCTATTGTTTCCTTGATAAATAAGTCTCTTTATAGGGGGCGGGGGGGGGTCAAGGTATCTCTACGCTACAGGACTGTATATGTTTGAAAAGTCCCCGGCAAATCAAAAAGTGAAGGCCATTGGACTTGCTTTTTTATTACCCGATTTATAAACACGGCAAATTTTTTTATCCCATTGATAAAGATGATAATATTTTTCGCGCGTATCTAAGTTTGTTTTTATGCATATAAATTCTATTGCGATGGCCTTTAGCCTAAACTTCTGAAATAATTTTGACATTTTTGCTTAATCTATTAGATCCTCAGTTAGTCTGGGTTTTTAAATGAAGTTTAGTTTATTAACATGTTGAAACGTGTGCTGTTGTTGCGTTTGCTCAGTGAAGCCTGACAGCGTGGACGTGCTGGCGCCAGTGCTGGCACGCTACAAGGCGGCGCACGCGGCGGGCGCGCTGCTGCACGTCGCCTTCACCACGGTGTCGGAGTACTTCTGGCTGCTGCGCGCCGCCTGCGAGTGCCTGGCGCGTCTCGGCCCCCGCGCCCTGCTCTACCTCGCTGCCGCTGTCTCTGACTTCTATATACCTAAGGATAGAGTGGTCAGTCATACTAAGTTTTATACTACCTACCTTTTAAACTAACTGAGAGTTATTACAAAAAAAATATTTGTCTCTAAATTACTCTTAATTAGCTTTAATTTTACTAACCTTTAAATTGTGATGTCATTTTTGGTTCAAATAGATAGGAGACAGCCCTGTTCTTCGATACTTGGCCCTGTAACCTCTTATCTACCTACTAATTAGTAGTAGTACTTTTGCATGGAACCTAGTTCAATAGAATGAACAGTTCTTTTTTCTACACCACAATCTATCATATTTTCTACATGTTGTCCCCAGCCGACACACAAGATGCAGTCGGAGAGCGGCGCTCCAGTGATCCAGCTGCAGCTGGTGCCCAAGATGCTGGCGCCGCTGGTCAGCCTGTGGGTACCCAGCGCCTACGTGGTCTCCTTCAAGCTGGAGACCGACGAGAACCTCCTCGTGCCGAAGGCGCGCTCCGCACTAGAGAAGTACAAGCATAAGGTAATTTCAAACGAAACCATGGACAACAACAAGTAGTACTTGGTAGATAAATAATTGTTGCATGCGACTCTCTCCGCGCGAATATTAAAAAAAAATGGTAAACTATGTGTTCTTCCAGACTATGTTCTACATCTATGCCAAATTTCAGCAAGTTCCACGCAGCGGTTCCGGAGATACCGTCTAATAAACATCCATCCATCCATTCATACAGTCAAACTACGAAACTTTCGTATTTATAATATTAGTATGGTATTTTGTATCTGTGTATCATGATTTAGTTTTTCATTGATACACTTATTGATGTTTGTTCAGATGGTGGTAGCGAACCTCCTGCAGACGCGGCACCACCGCGTGGTGCTGGTGAAACCGGACGCCAGCCAGGAGATCCTCCTCACCAGGGAAGACGTACACGCAGGTATGACCCACTTCACTTTTACCAATTAATTTTTGTTAAGTGCACAACTGAACTGAGAAATCTACACTAAGCGACTGTTTTAGTAACTGGGAAGAAGCCGGTTAGATGTTATTTTAAGGCAATTCCTACTTTTAGCAATTCATTTTAACTTGTTATTTCAGTCAAATATTTCTATAGTCATTTGATATGTCATCCGTCATTTTGTAAAGGCGGCCATCTTGGATTTTAGATAGTGTACTTTCATTTGATGCCCATGTTGGGGGGGTTTTAAAAAAATATGTCATGTCATCCATGGTAATAGGTATTGAGAAAAAATATTAAATAGAAACATAATTTAAAAGTATGCAATATGTGCCTTAACCTTCAAAAAAAAAACAATAAAAAAAATATGTTGTATGACATCAATATGTACCTTTGCCTTTTTATGAAATTAAAAAAAAAAACCAGGTGTGGACATCGAGGCGTCGATAGTGAATGAGATAGTGCGTCTGCACACGGCGCACCTTGGCGGGCCGAGCGCCCCGGCCGCGCGCTGAGTGTCGCGCGGCCGCCTGCACCGCCTCTACCTCACCGACTAGGCGGCCGCCATATTGCACCGTAATACCATCAAATACGGTTCATATTCCATTGCGTACACACGCGCGGACAACTTTCAACCTTATTGCCTACGCGATACAGTTTATTTTGTTCTGTGTTGTTGGTGTTCTAGTTATTTTAATAAGTTTGCTATTGGGTATATATTTGAGTGAACTTAAGTGTTATATTCATCCGATTTTAAGCATTTGGTGTTGCATTCACGCGAAGGATTATCAACCTTATTTCGTGCGAAATACAGTCTATTTTATTGGTGTTGTAATTAGACTTTAATATTTGCTTGGGTTGGTATTTTAGTATAATTTATACGTGTTATGATACACTCGATTTTAAGCCTAATATGTACGAAATACAGTCTATTTTTGTTAGTGTTGAATTGTAGTTCTTATGCTCATGGTTATTAGGATCAATTTTGGACTACACGGCATTTTTTTTTTTAGTTCGAGTTTACTTCAACTAAAAAGAGTGGTGATAGTCCATTTTTGCGTTGGTTTTAGCTTTTAAGTGCACAGTGATAATCAAATTTAAACTTTATTGAGTTGTTTTGGGGTTTATTTTTGAATGAAATAACGTTAGTTTTTAAGTGTAGATTTATTTTAGTAATTTTCAACTTTATTCTGTACAAAATTGGGTCTACTTTTGATTGTACTCTTTTGAGTTGCATATTTTATAGATTTATCGTGTTTTTTATTGTTAAAATTTTCCAAATCGTGGATTATTATTCTAGGTGTTGTGGTATATCGGAATTAGAATACGACTTTTTACAATTGTATTCAAATGGATGTCTTATTGCATTGTTTTAAGGTTTAATATTAGTTGCACTTTAGTTGCATTTCGAATATTGTAGTAATGGGTGTTATTCAATTTTGTATTTTAACTCTTGTGAGATAGTGTTTATTTCTGCGTGGTTTTATTATTGTGAGAGTTTTTTTAGATATTAAGTATAGTTTTAATATGCGTTTACACTAAATTGGTAAAATTTTCGCTTATTATTTTATAATAAAAATTATATCATTGCTAAAGAAATTGTGACATATTCTACTTTAGTGTTGCCAGAAATTAATCACAGCATGATTTATTTAAAAAAAAAGTAGTTGGCTTTAAAAACTATAAATATTCAGTAAAAATATACAAAAAGAACAACAATAATTACGTATGTATTTATATTTTTATTTTACGAATTTAGTGGAAACGTACCTTAAGCAACTTAAAGTTTTAAACATATTTTCCTTCATATTAATGTGATTTGTTTGCAAGCGATTGTCGTATTTAAGTGAATAGTGTTTAGCTACATTTTCCCTTGTATTTGTGGGTGTTTGACTGATACTATCTTTGTAACGTGTATTGCCCTCTACGTGCCCCATAGATTTATTTATAAGTAGATTTTATATGTCTATATTAATGTTGAATAAAATATATCAATATTGTATCATTGTTATATGTATATTAGCGTGTATTTTTCTCAATCGAAATACTAATTATGTAATTATTTAAAATTTCTATAAACTAAATACGAAAATGGCAACATTTTTCCCGCTGTCGGTACCGACTATTTTTGAGCCTATTGGTATTCAGATACAGTGGTTCTGGCAACACTAGAAATAATCTCAGTCCACGTGTATGTAGCCGTTTTTGTATTTATTTTATAGTAATTGTGTATTTTAGAATTTTATCAATATTTATGTTAGAAATCTAAATTTTTTATTTATAAGGTGGTGTATTAAATGTCTCTCAGTATTTATAAATAATAGTTACATATCATATAACGAGATATTTTCATTTAATACAGATATCACAGATTATATTTGAGCTGTCACCTTTGACAGGTGTCATTTGTCATGTGAATGTCAACATTTCATATCTGACAGATGAATAAAAGATTCTGTGTTACAAATAATTTTGTTTTATTTTGATCCCGCAAATTATTATATTTATTTTAACAGTGGTAGAGGCCGCTTTAACATCTTCGCACGAATCGGCCCGGCTCGTCCGATGAAATACCACGCCCACACAGAAGACAGGCGTCAAGTGGAAGCAATTCCGCGTACAGTCTGATGAGTGTGCGTCCCGAAGGCCTAATTTAGTCCTCTTTCCCTTCCCAGCCTTTTCTTATAAGGAAAGGATGGGAAGAGGAAGTAGACTTTCCGTATGAGAGGATGCATGGAAAGGGGAGATATTTTCTTTCTGTGCATCCTCTCCTCCGTCGATTAAAGATAGGCAACGCATATGCAATTTCATATGTCTATGGGCAACGGTCACTTCGCTATTTCAGCGATGTCAGGTGGCCGCTCGCTCGTTTGCCACCTTATGATATAAAAAAAAAATCAACAGCAAAATCCCACGTTGGAGATGTAGCCATAAAACTTTTATTAAATAACATAACTTTCATAAAAAATAAGATTCTATATTTTAGATTTGTTTAGTGTATAAATCTTTGACATCCTCAAAATATCCTACCAAAGATTCATCAAAATCTATCCATAAGTGAAAAGGCTGATATTTATTTATATAAGAAGGTAAATGATTTGTCAGAATTATCTAGAATTAGTATGAAAGCTCCATTATTACAATTATATAGTGATAAATGACAAAACATAAAATGAATAATAGGATTCGATAAAGCAAAGGTCCGCGTTATCGTCAGTAATTGGTAAATTTCCTCTCATTGTATCACAGACTTTGACTGTATTGAGAGCGTCGGTGGCTCAGGGATCAAGCACTTGACTTGCAATCTCCAGGTCCTGGGTTCGAATCCCGCCATGTACCAATGTGTGTGAATTACATATGTACATTTATCCGACATTCTTACGGTGAAGGAAAACATCGTGATGCAACCTGCACGTATCTGAGAAGAAATTAAAAGATATGTGTGAAGTCAACCAACCCGCACTTGGGCAGCGTGGTGTCAACCTTGGCCTTATCACCCTTAACTTAGGGTAGGCTCCGAGCCCCTCTGCGGGGACGTATAATGAGCTGATGATGTATCACAGACTAAATACCTTTGCCTAGGATATATTTCGTCTTTTAAACTTTCGCTATTTAAAAACAAAAATATATATATAAAAAGTACTTTCACGTATTTTACATCTGACAAATAAGGCTATCCGGATGGTCAATTTGAATATTTGGAGCAAAATTTTAATATTTTTTGCCTTCGTATGCTCTGTCTCTTTCTAGAATTTTGTTTATAGTCATCCGGCCATGTCTATGGTCAAGAACACTCATTATATTTAGTCTGTGCAGATAATTCTGACAATATTAAAGGTTGTCCGGAAAGTTCATGCCGATTTTCGATAGTTTGAGAATTAACCTAATTATAAGTATTGAAAAAAACATGATAGAGCACATATTCTAAAAGAAAATACCTTCAGCCATATTCCTTACTGAGAAAAAAAACATTTCTTAAAGATAAGACCTCAATTATATAGATAGACAATTTTTTTTGCCGAAAAACTTGAGGGAGTGAAACTGAATGGTAGCTTTATAATTCGGGTTTAAATTTTTCTTAAAAATGGGCACGGACTTTCCGGATAACGAAATCATTTGATAACCAGATTTACGCAAAATGACAAAAAGGTTATCTTTAAGTCGATTGAGGGCAAAATAAAACAATGATATTAATTTGCGATAGTTTTAGTTATGAGGTCAGTCACCGAGACTATCATACGATTATAGTCATTGTGATTTACCTACACATTTGGATCGTAAAAAAAACGTTACATTAAAACGACCGCCATACCAGATAGAGCGGCAATGCAAAATTTAATTAAAGGCAATTTATTTGCGTCTTTTTATCTTAATGTTATATGAACAGTAAAATTATTTCTGTTATTTTATTTATTATCTATTGTCATACAAACCTGGGATATTCACCTTACTAGAGAGGCCATTTACTTACCTTATTTCACTTATATTATAAATGCGAATGTTTGGCTGTAAGGATGGATGTTTGTTAAAAAATATCTCTAAAACGGCTCAACGAATCTCGATAAAATTTGGCATATATGTAGAACATAGCTTACTAATAAAGTTTTTTCTTAATTCCGGGCGGACGAAGTCGCGGTTATAAGCTAGTATAGGTGCTAGCTACTACCTAAGCAATTACGTCAGAGACATGAGTGATTTGTTAATGAATGTAAATTCAAAGGCGATGTAAACACTTTCCAGATAATTATAACGCGCAGAATTATATCCATTCATTTAGATAACGTCTAACAATTGCTGTTTACATTATTCAACAATAACAAATTATATCATTAAATGTTTATAATTTTTATGCTATTTATTGACCCGAGTTCGATCTATCTGTGGACGCTGGATAATAAAGACGATATAGGCGATAAGAGTGTTTATTTCGTGCGGATATGTGATTCCCAAAGTACTCCAGGTTCCCTAGGGTCCAAGCGAGAATGGACTGTTGTATGTCGTGAAAAGCGCCTGCGAAAAATATTAATAAAAAAGATAGGAATCATTGGTTTATATTCAAAGTTTCCGAAGCCCATCTTTTCATAGATATTGTTGCAGTTTAAAAAGAATTTAAATATCTTTCGGTATATAAATTTATCTTTGTTATTTAAATGACAAGAGTCATGGCGGAAGTAAATAACCATAAGAATCTATTTAAAGCTTCTGTTGAAGAGACTACGGAGAACACAGTGATATAATATAAAGTAAGAATATTCCACACAGTTCAACAGATGCGCAATTTCAATATAACCCTACCAATGTTAAGAAATTACGAGACCTTTGATGATAAAACCATAATGTTATCGTTCCGCGCGTTCCCGCGCAAACAATAAACGTCAAGGCAGTATCTGTGGTGTAGGTATCTCTGTCATAGATTATGTATAATCGCTGCAGGTCTTACGTCAACGCGTTGTTTATTGCACTCCACGATAGATGGAAGCACGGGTCATCGAGACACACCCTTCTAACACGTGCCGTTTCACACGACCGTGAAATAATTTAAAACATTGAAACAATGAAAACACGATGAATAGCTAAATATTATATTTTACCTCTCACCCGCGACTTCGTCCGTGCAGAATTAAAAAAATATTTAGTAGCTTAGACGTTCTTCCAAACTATGTTCTACATCTATGACCAATTTCAGCGAGATACAATCAGGTGTTTGGGAGATTCCTTCTAACAAACATCCGTCCATCCATACATTTAAACATTCACAGATCAAATATATAATTCAAAAGAAAGGAAATCAAAGAAATTTCAAGTAATATTACTAATGCGAATATAAATACGCATTAAAAATAGAATGGATAATAAACACAATATATATCGATTCAGGAATTCCTACATTTGTTCTATTTTAATTGAGGTAGCGGAAGTTTATATAAAAAACTAAAATAAACAAATACTAAATAAGTTTTGTTAATTTTTTTAAAGGAATAATTTTTATCATTTATCTTTTAATTGTGTAATAATGTGTAATTGTGAAAAACCAAACTATATTTGTCCGCTCCGTTACCTACGACTGTAGCGTAAATGAGTAATTCGTCAATATAAAGGAAGACGAAGATTGCACTATGAATAAATCGGAAAATATAATCTAATTTAATCCAGAGATTGCTACAAATAACTACACCTGAAAAGTTTTTTTTTTATATCATAAGGTAGCAAACGAGCGAGCGGCCACCTGAAATCACTGAAATAGCGAAGTGGCCATTGCCCATAGACATACGCAATTGCATATGCGTTGCCTACCTTTTATCGATTAGAGGATGCACAGAAAGAAAATATTTTCCCTTTCCATGCATCCTCTCCTCCGGGGAGTCCACTTCCACTCCCCATCCTTATAAGAAAAAGGATGGGAAGGGAAAGATAACTAAATGAGGCCTCCGCACACTCATCAGACGAAACGCGGAATTGCATCCACTTCACGCCTGTCTTCTGTGTGGTCGTGATATTTCACCGGGCGAGCCGGGCCAATTCGTGCGAAGATGTTAAAGCGGGCTCTACCACTGTTAAAAAGTTACTCTACCAAAGTTACTGCAATACAAGATTGGAGAAAGAAATGGTCTTGTCTTGGTCGAGTAGATTGGTCTGAAGTTCAGAGTTCAGTTCCTGAGTACACTTTCGAAACCTTAACTGTATGCATTTGAACTCTGAATTAAATTACAAAAAAGATAGTAAAGTATAATAGAACATAGTCTGGAAGAACACATAGCCACGTATTTATTTAATTCCGCTCGACGATGTCTGGGGCTAAAGCTAGTCTCCTATAAAATCTGTAATGATTCATTTGATAACAATATCAAGCATTTTTGCTCTTGCAGTAATGCTTATCTCATGACATCACTGTTATAAATATTACCTCTGCGAAGTGTTATACAGTGCGTTTCAACGCCGTAATATTTGCACTAATAAATATTTTCGTCCTTTTCATTCTCTTTGACAAAAGAGAGAGCACAATATACAAATACCACAGCAGTGGAGGTCTACTGTTACACGTGCTGCGGTTTGTTTGTTGACAATTGACGATCGTACGATTGATATTTTACAGCTGATATCGCGACCACATTGTAATGCCCTTATCTATTTCCTGTACATGTGATTCACATGCTTAATCTTAAACTTATCTTACTAATATTATAAATGCGAATGTTTGAATGGATGTTGGTTAGAAGGTATCCAGAACGGCTACATGAATCTGGATGAAATACCAAATACATGTAGAACATAATCTGGAAGAACACAGAGGCTACTAATTAAGTTTTTTATTTATTCCGCGCGGACAGAGTCGCAGGCGACAGTATCTAACTGAAAAAAAGCATACTTCCATACAAATTTCTAACTCCTTTTCATCCCCTTACATCCGATTTTTCTCGTTAAAAAATAGCCTATGTCTTTTTCCAGGTTCTAGTCATGTGT